CCCCCCCCCGAGAATGTTAGGCCGAGGTAAGTCCTCGATATACACGGTCCGCATGGTGTTGCTGCTTGTGCTGTCTAATCGGGACAAGGCGTCGGCCTCAGCGTTCTCGGACCTCCGGATCTGCCTTATGAAGTAAGAAATGAAACCGCGTAGTATCTCCCTAACTTTGGCCAAGTAAGCAGCCATGGTGGGGTCGCGGGCTTCATACTCGTCGCTGACTTGGCTAACTACGAGCTAAGAATCGTTGCATATGACGAGGTGTTTTGCCTTCATTTCCCTGTTAGGGTGAGCCCGACAACCAATGCTTCATACTCTGCTTCGTTGTTCAATGCCGCGAACCCAAACCGAAGTGCATATTCCAACTTCACCTCACTTGGGCCGTACTGAATTATTCCTGCACACCTTCCGTGTTGGTTGGACGAGCCGTCGACGTGGAGAATCCAGGGCTCCTCATCCCAGGTTGGACCTGCTTTGACCGGGACCAGCGCCGCATTGGTTGATGCTTCCATCGTTTGTTCAAGCTCGGTCAGCTCGGGAGTTGCGGTACTGAATGTACATTCTGCCACAAAGTCGGGCAAGGCTTGTGCTTTGATAGCCGTCCGAGGTTCATACCGGATGTCGTACTCACTTAGTTCGATAGCCCACTTCGTCAATCTACCAGACACCTCAGGCTTAAGCATGATCTGTCTCAAAGGCTTGTTAGTGAGGATGATGATGGTGTGGGCTTGGAAGTATGGACGAAACTTGCGAGCTGCTATGATTTGCGCGTATGCTAGTTTCTCAATCTCCAGGTACTTGATTTCCGCATCCTGCAAAACTTTGCTAACATAGTAGATGGGTCATTGGACCCGATCTACCTCTTTGATTAGTACCAAGCTGACCACCTCGTCACTCGCGGAGAGGTACAACTTTAATACATCCCCTTCCTTGGGTCGGGTCAGAACCGGGGTGCTAGCTAAGTATCTTTTTAGCTCGTCGAATGTGAGCTAACACTCTGTAGTCCACTCGAAGTCTTTACTCTTTTTTATGACTTTAAAAAGGGTAGGCAGCGTTCTGCTGATTTGAACATACAACGGCTCTGGGCGGCTATCCGGCCATTCAGCCTCTGAACCTCTTTTATTTTGTGGGGTGGTTTCATATCTAAGATGGCCTTTATTTTTTCCGGGTTGGCTTCGATGCCACGTCAGTTGACTATATAACCCAAAAATTTACCTGACATGACCCCAAAGACGCACTTGTTGGGATTTAATTTTATATTATATTTTCATAAAATTTGGAAAACATTTTGCAAATCATCTAATAAAAAATTTGAATACTGGGTCTTCACGACCATGTCATCAACATAGCATTCAATTTTATTGCCGATTAACGGCTCAAAAATTTTGTTTACAAGTCTTTGAAAGGTTGCCCCGACATTTTTTAGTCCGAAGGGCATGACCTTGTAGCAATACAACCCGGGCTCGGTTATAAAGGCAATATTTTCTTCATCAGTGTGGTCCATCCTAATCAGGTTGTAACTGGAATAGGCGTCCAAGAAGCTCAGCAACTCATGCCCTGAGGTCGCATCCACTAGGTGGTCGATCTTGGGCAGCGGGAAGCAGTCTTTCGGGCAGGCTCTATTCAGGTCGATGTAATCGACGCACATGCGCCACTTTCCGTTAGCCTTTTTTAACAGGACTGGGTTAGCTACCTAGCTCGGGTAATGGACTTCCCTGATGAAGTCTACAGCTAAGAGCTTCCCAACCTCTTCATTGACTATCCTCCAACGTTCTGGGGCAAGGTTGCGCTTTTTCTGTCTAACTGGCATGACTAAGGGATCGATATTTAACTTATGAGTTACAATCTTACAATCTATTCCAAGCATCTCTACCGCGGAACAAGCAAATTTCTTATTAAAAAAAGCTTACCAGATGAGAGCGAAGTGGCTCCTCGATCAAAGTGCCGATTTGGAGAGTCTTGGGTCATCGGTTGAGACCGGGATGTGGACTGTCTCCTTTGTTGGTGCACCTCGCTCGTCGGCATACTCCATTGGTCGCTCGAGCTTGTTGTCAATTGCGAACTTTGCTTTCCCCTTGAGGGCGGCTACATTGCACTTGCGAGACTCAAGCTGGTCACCTCGCACAACCCCTACTCCATAATCCATTGGGAACTTCATTGCCAGGTAGTAGGTGGATACTACCACACGTAGGGCGTGCGTAATGGGTCGATCTACTATGGCATTCTAAGGAGAGGGAGTTGCGACCACCAGAAACGTGTGCTCAAATCTCACGATATTCGACCACGTGCCGGCCTCTATGGGTACTGAGACTCGCCCTAGAGGTCTGACTTCCTCGCCGTTGAAGCCTACCAGGGGAGTATTTGTCGGCTTTAGGTCACTTTTCTGGAGCTGCAGCTTGTCGAAGGTGTCCTTGAACAATATGTTTGCCGAACTACCTGAGTCCACTAGGATGCGCTTGACTTCGAAGTCGTTGAGCCTCAGCTTTATTACCAGAGCATCATCGTGAGGATATTGGATCCTGCATGCATCATCCTCCATGAAGTAGATTGGTTTTTCAAGTTGAGGTCGCTTTGGCGGGTTTTGCTCCTCGTTTTCTAGTTCGTGGATTGAGGTTTGTCCTGCTGCCGAAGTACATCCCCGTGGATCGGTCTTCCTCGGGCAATTGCCGTGGCGGTTGCTCGTTCTGCCTGTTGCTGGGCTCGGGGGCATTCCTTATCTGGCCCCCCTGCCGGTCTGCCTGCCAATCTGCCTGACTTCTTTCTTCTCGCTGTACAAAGTTTTTTAAGTACTCACGGCGGATGAGCTCCTCAATCTCGTCGCGGAGGTTTCTGCAGTTCTCCATACTATGCATGTGGTCTCTATGAAAGTGACAGTAGATATTCCTGTTTCTTGTTGCGGGATCTCCCCTCAACCTAGGAGGCCACTTGACGAAGGAATCCTTGATGGCCATTAGGATTTCTCCTCGCTTAGCATTGAGAGGTGTGTAGTTCGTCCTTTCAACAGGTGGGGTCCTGGAGCACTGACCTGATTTGCGAGATCGCGAAGGAGATCAACTCCCAGATTTGTTTCTTCCCCTGCTTGGGGACTTACTCTTACTTTTTTTTGCCCGTCATTACCTTCATGAGGGAGATCAACTCCCAGATTTGTTTCTTCCCCTGCTCGGGGACTTACTCTTACTTCTTTTGTGCCCATCATTACCTGCGTTGTCACTGTCTCTTTTTCTTTTTTCGGCCGGGTTGTTAGTCTTCTGGTTCATATTTTCTTCAGTTCCAATGAACTGGTCAGCTAGCTTGAGGAAATTCTGTGATGTCTTTTGGTTTATTGGCCCCCACATGCCATTTGAACTCTTTGTGAGTTATTCCCTTCTTGGCTGTCGTAAGTCTTACCGCCGGGTTTAAGTCGAGGATCTGCAGTCAGGTGTCGTTGAAGCATTTGATGTAGCTTCTAATCAACTCCCTCTCTCTCTGAACCACGTTGAGGAGGCTCTCCTATGACCTCAAGCACTTCTTGCTGGTGATGAAATGCGAGGTAAACAACTCTGCGAACTGCGCCCAACTTTTGATCGATCCTGGCGCGAGGTTCTGGTACCATGTCCGAACTACCCCCTTGAAAGTGGTGGAGAAAGCCACACACATGTAAGACTCGTCAGCCCCAGCTAGGTTCATCTGGGACTGTAAGGAGTCCACATGATCATTAGGATCAAAAGACCCATCATATTTGTCCAAGGGAGGCATCTTGAAATCTTTGGGCATCGGGGTCGCCAAGAGCTCAGGAGATAGGGGAGATGACCCGGAAAAGTAGGGGAGGAGCGGCCTTTGTAGCTTCCGAGCTCGCCTCCTCCTTACCTTTAGCCTGTTCTTGTTGGTTCGGTCTCACTGGCTGGCTGTTCTGAGTTGAAGTACGGCGTGCCTTGCGACGCTTTCGTTGCTACTTCTTTATCGGCTTGGCATTGATCCTGCTAATATCGGTATGCTCCGATACTATTTTGCCACGAGGTAACTCCTGGTTCCTCGTGGGATTCTAGGGCTGGCTATCATGGACAGAGAGGCCTTGCCTTGAGTTCGCACCCAGAACCCCGAACCAGTTACCTGCGAGCGACCCGCCTTCTTGCTGCGAACGCCGAGGAAGATTGGCCCTGTTAGGTTGAGTATCCCTGGATCTGTTTTCGAGGTTCCCTTGCGAAGCAGGTGGGGTGAACTGGCAGCCTCTCCTCCCGCGGGGTGAGACCAGACTCCTAGGAGGAATTGGGACTTGCGAAGTCTCTTCGCCTCGGTGGGGAGATCGAATGATGTCTTGGTTCACGCAAGGTCTATTCTGATTTTGCTGGGCCCCTGGGTGCCGAGGCGGAACCGACTACTGGCTCTGTGGCAGTGGGGGGAAGTGTTGCTGGAATTGCTGAACCTGTTGCATTTGGACCTGGGTGGCCCGTACACACTGCACCAGGTCGTCAAACTGTGACTGTCCAACTCCGGGGGGAACCACAGACGGTTCAGAAAAGGTTGCGCCTACCACTGGGGGAAGTGGGGCGTTTACCTGTGTGGTGTTTGGTGGCATGGTCAGTGTTAGAACCCTAGCCGCAATAAGCAGGATGGTGAACTGGCCGATGCACACTGAAGGAAGTTGGGGTTGCCCCCCGGAGACGTTCATCTTGCTGCTCTATCTGGCGTGACTGGAAGATGCCATTGATTCAGAGGAAGGTTGACTGTAAAGAAGCTTTTTGGTCGTGTTCCCACAGATGGCGCCAATTGATGTTGCGCGATTTGACTACTCCTTTGCTGGAGGATGATCTGGTTTCTAGTCGGGCAGTGAGCTAGGTGAATTTGCAAGACAAGATTAGTGAATTCGGGGTGGCTAACCCAACGAGGTTGCTCCGATGCTTAAGTCAATAAACTGATGTGAGTTGAAAAACTTTGAGAGCTTTTAGAGCTTAGAGAGCTAGAGAGCTAGAGAATAGAAAAATCACACGTACCTTGTGTCATTGGGGTTGGTGCCTTTATATAGTTGAGTGCTCGTGGGTTTTGCGGATCGGTTATGGGATATTCGTCCTGATGGGATCCATTTTTGCTTTAATTGGGGAGTAACGTTATCAATTAATAAAGATTATCAATTCCGCCAGATCCGGGCGGGGAGAGGATTAGGCTTGCCATTACGTGGCATGATCTCGTGAGGTTCAGAGTCTGTTGGAGAGACTTCTGGGATCGTTACTTGGGGGTCCAGGTTGGTAGCCCCGAGTTGATACTTCGGTCTTCTAGTTCCGAACTAATTGTTGCGAACTAGGCTTGCCGGGCTGAGCTATCATCTCTTAGTCAGGTTGTGTCTACATGTCCCTCACGTCAAATCACCCTTCATCAAATCCAAATTAATTAGATATTCAATAGTAAATTGCGATGCTTGTCTCCACCCATTTATCTTGTGAAGATTTATACAAAAAAAAAAAGGCCTAAGCCGGCGGTCCTTTTGACCGCCGTTATAAGCGTACCAATTTAACTCGAGAACCGGCGCGACGGTCTAAGAGAATAGATACGACGGTTTTAAATATAAATCAAATTTGAACCGGTCAAACAAAGGACGCAGGGCGGGGAAGCCAAAAATACTTCTCCCGCGCGCTCTCTGCTTCCTTTTCGACGAGAACCTTGTAGAGAACCTTTTGACGAAGGAGAATAGTTTTTTGACGAAAAAGAATATTGGAGAGGGAGAATCATTGTTGAAATGGAGATTGAGAAGGAAATCTAGAGTTACAAGTGTTGTGCGACTCCAAATCCAGCATCGACTTTGCTTGAGAAGGGAGAAGATTTTTGATTTTTTTTCATTTGGAGCCAAGCCAGCATCGACCCTTGTTCGTTCGAGCAAGAGAAGAGAAGGTAATGCCATATAATCCTTCTTGGTTTAACATTTGTACTTTTAAAGTAGGAGGTCAAAGGGTATAAGGGGTTCGGGACAGGAGGTCGAAGGGTTTTCGATGAAAAACCGTTCGGTCATCAAGTTAGTAGCCCAATGAAAAATCCTTCGGTCGTCTTGTTCCACAGTTGATGCTTTTTGGGAGGATATTAAAGATGGGAAGCTTAATGCAAGAATGAAATGTGATTTGACTGACAATCTTTCATTAAAGGCGAATGCTCAGGTGTTCAACTTTTTTTTTTTTTTTAAGCTTTAATTTTAATATTTGGATGTCGTATTATGTGGCTATCTAATGCTAACTTAATATCTTCCATCTGTTTTGTACAGCTTACAAATGAGCCCCATATGTCACATGGTATGGTCAATTTTGTTTACAAGGTCAAGCACCCTTACTTGTTCACTCCGATTCTTTTGCTATACTTAACATGTTTTAAATCTTAGAGTATTCGAGGATATACATTTTTATTTTTTAATGGTTGTTAGTCTGTAATAACTCTTCAACCAGACCTACAGAATCATAACTAAAGATCATATTTTTGTTGGGAGTAGGCTCATCTCCTTTTTTTCTGGTCAGTAAATTAGCCTTTTTACTTGAAATGCAGCTTCGTGTGAACTGCATGAGTTGGTATACAGTTCTATAAGTTAGCTAAGATCAGTAGTTTAAACCACACCTAAGAAAATGCCATTATTTGATGCTGGTTCCAGCAATCTGGGGTGTTGGGAGTTGGGAGGGGTAGATTGAATATGGACCTAATCTCTTTTAATTTTAGCACAGGGTCACCACACCTTATAATATTAAGTTTCTAGAAGCCTACATCCCATGAAACCTATCTTCCTAACATTAGTTATTTTATCATGTGATTTTAAGGGTTTCCCTGCTTCTGTGTCATATGTTGTTCTTTCTAACAATTGTTTGAATGGTGCTCGTTATTCCCATCAGTCTTACTGAATGCCTCCTTGCATTGAAATTTCATTTATTATATTTAGATGTAAATAGATGGATGAAGAAGATGCTTTAAATTTGATGTAATGATGTTTACACTAATGGCTTTTTGATATGAAATGGTACTTCTTATTGCTGGTGCCGTTCCACCTTCCATAATGCAAATATTTCCTCAAATTTTATACAGGGTAAGGACTTCAGGACTCAATTTCAACTGGGGAATGGTGCTTTATTTGGAGCTAGTTACATCCAGCTAAAATATCTTCTTGAGATGTATTTTGTATAGGATTAAGACCAGTGTAATTAATTATCTTTAACGTTCCCTAGAGTAGAATTGGATGCATCAAGCTGTACTCCATAAGTGTGTTCATCTTATGTACCTTCATTGTGTGGATTTGGAGTGTTTACTATCTATATCAATGTTTCCAGGAAATACCTACTCTTGATGTGTATCTGAGAACCACCATGGACACCAACATAATAGATATGGAAAATGGAGTCATTGAAGGGCATCAGCATTTGGTCTTGGGTTCACAGTTCACACCTAGGCCAAAATGCAGTAAAATTTTTTAATTTGGAATTAAGTCTTCTTCTAATATAATTACCTTCAAATTTAAATGTTCAGTCTCAATGCTGGGGCCTAACATGTGAGTTTTAATAGGTTTAAATGCCATATACATGTGTTTATTAAATGGTTTTGTTTATTTGATTATATGGTTTAATAAATCTAGGTTATGAAACTGTCTACTAATCAATCAAATTAGGGTTTAATGAAGCAGAAAATCAGGAAAGGTTTGTAGGGTTTGTTGGTTGAGTTCAGACTTGCACCCTATTGTTTTGACATACATGATTGAATTTAAGATTTTGAGCTTCTGTGTCATTTAGCCCAACTATGATATCATTTAGCTTTTGTGTTAAGGAATAGCTCTGCAGTATAAAATCTAGATTCACATATCATAATCAGGTTTTCTGGGGCGGAGCTGAACTAATTTAATTGAGGAACAATTTAAAGTGTCATCATCAAAAGATCATTTGTGTATTAAGTTTCTCTAATCAATTGAAGAAGCTCTAATCATTGTACAAAGGACAAAATGGATTAATTGGTTGGGATGAATTAACAACCTAGTGGATGGAAAAGTTGGAGTTGATTCATGGGTGTTGTTGGATTAAATTAAGTGGAATTTTGTTTGTTGGTTCATCTCGCCAGATGGGTTGGAGATGACTTGAGAAAAGAAAGAAGGAATTAGGCAAGAGTGTTGTTGGAGTGTGATGGAATCCTTGCACATGGTGGGGGTCCATTGTTTGTCCTGTTTGGAGATTAAAATAAAATAAAATAAAATATAAAAGCAAGCCTGCTCTTACTTTGGAATTTCGAATTGAAAATTGAATTCATCAATCAAGGCCCACTCTATTAAATGCAGTAGGAAGAGGTTAGTGCAGTCAAATGCCCTAATTGTCAATCAAAGAAGAAAACATGGAGACCCCCCCTCCCCGGCTTCATTAAGTTGGACTGAGTTGTTTGATCATGCACTTTTGTTTGAAGAGAAGAGAATAAATAAATAACAAATGTATCTAACAAACTTTTTTGTAGTTTGGTTTTAAACCCAATCTGATATGGCTCGACCCAAAAAAGAAGTCGGTTTGATTAATTTGGACTGGTTCAACTCAAGACATAAATTGATGGACATGAGTTCTATATTGACACAGACATGTAGTGTCAGTTTGACGTGGCAATTCCCTAAAATCTAGACACGGAGGCACACATGTAATAAATTGAGAATTACATGTACACATATATGTAAACATAATATGTTTTAAACTATATAATATTGAACCACCCTGCTGTCTATTACGTTCTTTGGAACATAAGGGATGGGGGTCAGGAGGGGATTGGAAGTTGTCTTTTTTTTTTTTTTGATAAATAATTAAATTCACTAGTCAATATCTAAAGGGCTGCTTGGATGGTGATAAAGTCTTTTATCCCTAGGGTAACCCCACAGGAGGTTTGATCACATTAGGTAAAACTCTTATGCTTCTTTCATCCCACCTACTCCAAAGGATAGCAGCCCTCATACATCATCCCATAATCCTTCCACTTTTCGAGGAGAGAAAATACTAACAGTGATTTCACTTTATGGTTTCACTTTACCCTCCATATTGATTTCTTTTATATCTCCTGGGATATAAGGATCCCATATACTAAAATTCTTCATTTCTTAGAATTAGGTCACTTGTACTTAAATCATACTAATTACTAAATAACCATGTAGTCAGATGAAAAAGATTTTGAAATTAACCAAGAAATTGTGTTGAAAGTTCAAACAATAAAAGTTAGAAGCCTTCAAGAATAATGAGCTAATATGATGCACCATACATAACAGTAGAGAAAGCCCCAATTATTCAACCCACTTGTTTCTTGATTTGTTTCTATATATAGACATTGTTAGCTAATATCCTAATCCTCTGATCATTCTGCATCAAAACAACTATTTATTACTTCATTGTTCTTTTGAGTTCTCAACCTTGTCAAACTAGGAAAGGATGTAGATCTATTGTAAAGTTGTTTCTTGTCTAATGGTGGTCTTAGGAGCAAAGTATTTGTTAAATGAGGAGAACTAGAGCTGTAGAGCAGAGCAATTCAGGAGAACCAGATTTCTAGCATACACTGGAGCTCCCTTTTTGACTTTATTAGTGAATTTCATGACAGTACTTTGTTAAATGAGGAGAACTAGAGCTGTAGAGCAGAGCAATTCAGAGTAGAAACCAAGTGAACTGTCAACCATTACTCACATCTTTATACACTCATGTTTCTTAACCATTAATGTTTGTTATCCAATTAATCCCATTAACATTTGTTTTCCAATTTAATATAGACACTAGGAATTTAGAAAARTAAGCATGGAAAGTTCGATACAAGCATGGAAAGTCTATCCCATACCTTAACAGGGAAGCGCATGGTAATGCACTGATGCAAACTTGGCACTTGGGTGCTTTAAAAAAATATACAACATTAGAACTCTGAAATTTATGCTTATGTTTTTGGTTCATTGAATCATCCCCGATTTGGTTGGCTCAGCTTCTGCCTTCCATTCTTGCATGCAAAGCATATTAGAAAGTTTGAAAAGCAACCAGGATCAGGATAAATTTGAAGAACTTATGAATAACTTTATTAATGGCACTTCCTTTAGCCTATCAGGAGAGACCAACAAAACCTTATAAACTATTATTAAAAAAATGAAGGAGCAGTACTGATCAGGATAAAGTGAGTATTAACCTTTACCCCAATTGCTATAGATCTCTTTAGCTTCACAAGTTCTCCTAATCTCAATGAATTGCCCTTCTGATCTTTAACAAAGATTAGTGGGACTCTCTCCTTGTGGTGATATCTTATCACCCTATATTGTACTTGTACATTTTTTTTTTGTTTTAATGAAAATTTCTCTTTACTCTTCAAAAAAAAAAAAAAAAAGCTATACTTGCAGAAAATACTTTTATGTGTAATGCATGATTGATATACATTATAAAACTAGGGGCGGATCTAAATTATACCTTGTAGTTTCCTTGGAATCCAGTCTCACTATCTAGTGACTTCATAAAACACATGACCAGTTTGATGGCTGTCCCTATTGTTGATGGTTGTTTGCAAATTTGCATTGGAAGATGTGTTATTTTATTCAAGAAGATTTTTTTTTAAATGCCTTGTAATTTTTTATATGTCAATTGGATATTGTATTTAAGCAATTTGTTTTGGATATTATAATAATTAATAATTTAATTAAAAGTTTTTTTATTTATAATTTGCATTTTTTATTTAAATTGATTTTTATGTATTATTTGYCATTAAACATGTACCAAAAAATGTTGAAATCAAATTGACATAAATAATAAAAAATAAAAAAACAAAGCCGGTGGTCATACAACTGCTGCCTTAGACATAAAAACCGACCTAAGGTAGCAGTCTAAAGAGTCCTAAGCCGACGGTCCAGACCGCCACCTAAAAACAGAAACAACAATTTGGACGACCTAAGGCGACGATTTAAAGAATCCTAAGCCGGCGATCTAGATCGCTACCTAAAAACAGAAACAACAATTTGGTCGACCTAAGGCAACAGTCTAAAGAATCCTAAGCCGGCGGTCTAGACCGCCACTTAAAAACAGAAACAACAATTTGGCCGACCTAAGGCGGCAGTCTAAAGAATCCTAAGCCGACGGTCTAGACCGCCACCTAAAAACAGAAACAACAATTTGGCCGACTTAAGGCAACGGTCTAAAGAGTTCTAAGCCAGCGGTCCAAACCGCCACCTTTATCAACTCTGAGCCGGTGATTTTGATATATCGCCACTTTAGGAATGATAGAACCGCATTGGACCGGTTCTCAAAGGTGGTGGTCTTTTTTGTCTAAGTTGGCGATCTTGACCTAGGCCGGTAGTGGTTTAGGGGGCAGACTCATTATCGCTGCCTTACCTCTAAGGCAGCGGTCTAAAGGGCTAAGCCAGCGGTCCTACGACTGTTGCTCTTGCCCATTTTTCTTGTAGTGGTGTGAAACAATACTAACAATGTTTTTGAAAAACGGACTGGATTGGACAGTTGAACCGGTTCCATTTCATCCTAAAACCGTTTTTCGACCAAAAATTGTTTGAACCGAATGATCGGGCCGTTCAACCCTAGAACGGTTCTATATCCGGTCCGATTTTTAAAACCTTGATATGAACTATTATAAAAAAATGAAAAGAAAAAGAAATGATAACTAAAAGAAGGCAAAAAAAAAGACTATACAACAAACAACATCCATCATAAATTTAACCAACTCTGGTGATTTCTAAGGAATTATTGCACTTTCAACAGACTTTTCCAACTGTGTCACACAGATGCTTGAGTCCTGAGGGGGTAATTTTATCTTTGCCTCTGTGGAGGTTTGAGATGATTCTATTCCTGAGCAAGTGTCTGTGTTCCATATAAGTTCTTTTTGTTTACCTCCTTTATAATTTGATTAAATGCTCCCTACAGATGGGTAAGGGTGTCAATGGACCGGTTTTGGCCTGGACCCTGTCTAATTCAAAATCAATTTAGACGGACTAATAAGATATATTCGATTGGACCAATCTGATCCAAAATATTTATTAGATTGGATTGGACCTCGTCCGTTCATAATAAATTTATATTGGACTGGGTTGGATTAAGCTAATATCTGGTCCATTGGTATAAGATAAAAATATAAGTGTCAACAAACCGAATTTGAGTTGAAACCAATCTAAATTAAAATGAATTTGAACTGATTAGACGGTCCAAACATTGAATTGGACCGATCCAAAATATTCATTGGATTGAATTGGACCTGGTCCATTTGTAATGGGCTCACATTGGACTGAATCGGATTGGACCAAATCCAGTCCAATTGAGACCCCCTAGTTTTCTTGATTATTGTTAGTCAATTAAGGTATACAAGCCAAGCCAATTTTTTCTGTACAAGGATGAGTGTGCCAACTGCCAAGGCCAGTGGCCTAAAGCCCCAATGAGCTGCT